CAGGACCAATTGTCAAAATTTTGGTGTCGATCATTCGATTTCATCCTGGACACTACAGAAAATGGGCTAAAAGTGTTAAAAACCGGAATTTTCCTTTAATATTAGAGTTGGAAAAAAAAGACACACATTTTTTTTTCTTACAACTTTTTTTGTTTCATATTTAACCATTTATGTGACATCTCAGAAAAATGCATTTAATTTTGTGTATTTTTTCTGTGTTGAATGTAAAATACAGAACCATATTTATCTCCAGAGAAATGGGATTGGAGCCTGTGATGCTTTAGGTGGTAATTAGGGCTGCTTGATATCAATAAGCCGTGTTAATACAATAATAATGCTGTTTAGTGTGATGATATCAATTATGTGTGACCAATGTTTCCTGACTTCTTTACTTTCTTTGCTTTTATAAAGGGTTCCCACCACTCTAAATGAGCCTCAATGTGTCAGCCAATAAAAACAAACATTAGGTATTTGCATCAGAAGAGTCAGAGATCTAAATCTAAACTATATTATTGATATACAGAGTTTGAATGCATGGCCTTTGAAATTAAGACCTAAAGGGCTAGGCAAAATGGCTTACAAAATGTATAATCTCTGATTTTATTTTATTTTTTTCCCCTACCAAATCTGATTAATAGAATTGTTTAATAGTTTAATACAAAAACTAGTTTTAAATTCAGTCAGGGAGGTTAACTTAAACTTGAAATGGCAAAAAAAATCAAGCTGTTAAACATGTTTCTTAAATAGTTATGTTTCACAAAAAATAATAAAACACTAAACATTTGCTGCTAGTAGTGTTGCATAGTGAGCTGCTTTATCAGATATTAGTGCACAACGAAGAACAGTGACAAACTTAGGTCACTTTAAGCTTTGGAAGTCCAAGGAGTGGATTGGTGGAAAAACTTTAATTACAAATATATTAACATCGCCATATTAGTGAGTGCAATATTCATATCGCAAAGGACTGTCTGCGGCGTAAGAGTCGTTGTCTGAAATATTCCAAGCAATATGAACTTGAACTTTTAAAGCCAGGCGGATTTACAGCAGCAGATCCTCACTCCAGAAACAAATAATACTTAAAAGGTCTTAGGTTAGAAAGTGATAAAAGTACAGATGAGAGGGAGACAAGAAAAAAACAACTTATCGCAGCTGATATTGTCATGTCAACAAATTATCTGTATTAACCCCTTTTCAAGATTCCCTAGTATCATGCTGGCCTACATGAAATGTAGCATCTTACCAAATCTTGCATGCAAGCAGTGAAATATTTAAATGATTATAGGGTTGGATGTTTTGTATAGGTCTAGTTGACAATGAGTAGAATTAGTATTTTTTCTTAGCAGGACCACTATAATAAAGTCCTTTCAAATAGAAAAACTGTTTGTGCCTGTTGGTATTCAACAATAGCCTAACAGGTTTGGTGTACATTACATAACACTGTTTTATAGATTGGTTGATTCTATTGATTTGGCTTCAGATATACTCCTTAAACCCGGGGGCATATAAGTGTGCTATAAATGTTTCAGTAATGGGTGTTTAAGAGTACTGAAATACGGCAACTCAAGGAAAGAGGTTTGTGATGCACATCTTTTGTTGGTTAAAAAAAAAAGATTTAAAATTTTGATTTTATGTCGGAGCTTGAGATATAGTCGTGATTTTTTTTTCCTTTTGAAAATTTTCATATATTTAAAATTCAACATTTTTCAGTCTCTGATTGTCTCCTACATGGCTTCAATTATTTCAACAACATTTTATTTTCCTTTTTCCATAAGGCAGTTTGATCTATAAAGCAGGACTTCATTCCATTCAGTACTTCAGAGATGCCTGATGTGCTCCGGCTTTTTATATTCAGTGCTGTCTCACCTGTAGAGCAGCAGATTGGATCTAAACTACATGGCTCAGCAGTTTTTTCCCTTTTTTTTTTTTCTCTTTTTTTTAAAGAACCCTTGTCAAAGTCGGAGCACATTTGGTTTATGAATGCTTGATATGGATGGATTTTTTTTTATTTTTATTTTTTTATTATTAATTTTGAAGCTATTCATTTGGACATCTACATTTAACACCCATTACTGCATAGTTGTATTGTGATTTTAAACTTAGAAATTCAAGCCTACAATTTTTGAGTACTGTATCTAATGTTGATTTACAAATTTAGCAAGACTGGGGCACTACCCTGGTGTCTATTTTAGGGTTATTTAGATTAGGTATGTCCCAATAAACCTTTTTTAGTTCAACTATGGTAATGAAGTTGCACTTTCAATATTTACCAATACTGACCAGATATTATGGCTTATCGTTTTTAGTCTTAATCTTAAAAAAAAGATTTCCTCAAGTGATATTACTCAGAGAACAGTAGTTATTTGGTATGAGAACAACTGACCCATTTATTAATAACCAATGGGTTCCATACTTTTTTAAATAGAAGCAGAGTGTTTTTATAAGCTTTCTTAAAGAGTATAGACGCAGGCTGCTATATTCAGTTTTAGGCTGATATTGAACTGTATCTGTATCGACTCTGGACATGCCTAATTTAGACACTCTAATAAAACGCTCTTACCTCAAGTAGGCTTGTCCCGATCCGATCCATGTATCGGATCGGCACGCCGATATTGGCAAAAAAATGCGTATCGGCAAAGCATGTAAAATGCCGATCCAGACTGCCAATCCAGTTTTTTTTTTT